GGATGTTTTTTCTTTTTCGGACCATTCTCTGTAAACCCTAGAGATGGTTGTGCGTGAAAATCCCAGTAGATTAGCAGTTTCTGAAATACTCAGACCAGCCCTTCTGGCACCAACAATCATGCCACGTTCAAAGTCACTCAAATCACCTTTCTTCCCCATACTGATGCTCGGTTTGAACTGCAGGAGATTGTCTTGACCATGTCTACATGCCTAAATGCACTGAGTTGCCGCCATGTGATTGGCTGCTTAGAAATTAAGTGTTAACGAGCAGTTGGACAGGTGTACCTAATAAAGTGGCCGGTGAGTGTATGTTGCCATTACTTATTGATCATATCATTTTTAAATGTAACTAATTTTGCATTCGAGATTAAACATTACAGATTTGTTTAAAGCTTCCCAGACTATCTATCAAAGTCTCTCAGTTTTTTGGCATATCTAGCCAATGTTCAATACATAAGATGCCTTGACTGCAGCACTGGCCTGAACTAGTCTGAATCCTTGTTATTGTCCCCTGAGCTGTGAATGCAACAGTCTTTTGCTAAAACGTGTAGAGTGTCTTCTCTATAGAAGTATAAGCCCTGTCTTTTAGAGCTACTGAAAAAGTACATTCAATTAAATGAAAGCTTGATTCAATCCACTAGGTACCTGAATATTGCGGTATAGAGAAAGAGAAGCAGTCGATAGTGTCTTCATCGAGGGCAATGCCAGACATCTTGTCAGAGCACACAGCATACGTTGATGATATTAAACCCAAAAGATTTAATTTTCTCCCTGGTGAACAGAACCTTTCAGAGCACTGCTCAAATTTGGCAGGGTGTTCTTATTGTCTGATCAGCTTGCTGTAGTAATTGTTTTAGAAATAGCACCCGTTTGGGTATTTAAGAATGGATTAAATGGAAAACATGCTAATAAACTATGATTAACAGTGAAAACGTCCATCTCATTGCAGTGCTTCAGCTGGCCAGTTTTGCTCATTCAGAGGGGGTTTAGCTTTCATGATGGTAACAAATGGATATTACTGCTTTAGGCTGATGAAGACATGCACACTCTCTGGACGTAGAGATTACAGCTCTGCTGCTATAGGACAGTTATGTGAAAAAGAATATTCTGATAAATAACATGGGTAGAAGTGGATTTTACTAATCAGAATTTGATTAGATTGTGAGAAGTGGGCTATGATATCTCTTTTCAGAATAAAAAATAACAACAAGCACTATTATTACATCAGAATATAGTAATGGTATCTGATTTTATTGAGCAAAGCTGAGATGCAAACAAGAGTCATTCGAGATTTACATTTCCTTCAGAACATCATAAAGCAATGACAAGCCTCAAAGTACACAGTAATGTTTCCTTAATTGCAATCTAATATTAGCAGTGTAAGGCTATACATTTAAACATCTAAGACTCGTACAGACAAGCAGTAGGTTTATTTTATGCACAAATCTTTTAACAGATAAACAAATTAAATACATCATATGTACATAAATCAGAATAGTTTAAATGGTGAGTGTGATCTATGAGGCTCTGTGGTTCTTAATAACATTATACTCAGTTTGAGCGCTTTAACAGCAGCTGGTGGTGTGAGATGAGGACGGGGCTACCTGAAGAATGACTGCAGCTTTTCTGAACTAGCTTTACATCATATTTTCTGTCCCTTTATGATGTAACAGGAAGTTGGAACGAGACAAAGTATCTAACTCATCTTTTTAGCCTTTAGGCTACATCTAAAACCATGATTTTTGTTGCAATTGCAATATTCGGTGGCTAGTTATATTAGATCAAGGGGACATTCTCATTCTAGAGAGCATTTGATTGGACAAAAAATTTGAATATGCCCCTGTGGACAACATGAATAAAAGTTTTTGGTCTATTACAAATGTGTACCAGCTAAAAGTTACATCAACTTACTGCATATTCCATACCATCTAGACCTCAAAGCTAACAGACATGGACCACTTCAATCTCATATACACTCACCTAAAGGATTATTAGGAACACCATACTAATACTGTGTTTGACCCCCTTTCGCCTTCGGAACTGCCTTAATTCTACGTGGCATTGATTCAACAAGGTGCTGAAAGCATTCTTTAGAAATGTTGGCCCATATTGATAGGATAGCATCTTGCAGTTGATGGAGATTTGTGGGATGCACATCCGGGGATGAAGCTCCCGTTCCACCACATCCCAAAGATGCTCTATTGGGTTGAGATCTGGTGACTGTGGGGGCCATTTTAGTTCAGTGAACTCATTGTCATGTTCAAGAAACCAATTTGAAATGATTCGAGCTTTGTGACATGGTGCATTATCCTGCTGGAAGTAGCCATCAGAGGATGGGTACATGGTGGCCATAAAGGGATGGACATAGTCAGAAACAATGCTCAGGTAGGCCGTGGCATTTAAACGATGCCCAATTGGCACTAAGGGGCCTAAAGTGTGCCAAGAAAACACCCCCCACACCATGACACCACCACCACCAGCCTGCACAGTGGTAACAAGGCATGATGGATCCATGTTCTCATTCTGTTTACGCCAAATTCTGACTCTACCATCTGAATGTCTCAACAGAAATCGAGACTCATCAGACCAGGCAACATTTTTCCAGTCTTCAACTGTCCAATTTTGGTGAGCTCTTGCAAATTGTAGCCTCTTTGTCCTATTTGTAGTGGAGATGAGTGGTACCCGGTGGGGTCTTCTGCTGTTGTAGCCCATCCGCCTCAAGGTTGTGCGTGTTGTGGCTTCACAAATGCTTTGCTGCATACCTCGGTTGTAACGAGTGGTTATTTCAGTCAAAGTTGCTCTTCTATCAGCTTGAATCAGTCGGCCCATTCTCCTCTGACCTCTAGCATCAACAAGGCATTTTCGCCCACAGGACTGCCGCATACTGGATGTTTTTCCCTTTTCACACCATTCTTTGTAAACCCTAGAAATGGTTGTGCGTGAAAATCCCAGTAACTGAGCAGATTGTGAAATTCTCAGACCGGCCCGTCTGGCACCAACAACCATGCCACGCTCAAAATTGCTTAAATCACCTTTCTTTCCCATTCTGACATTCAGTTTGGATTCAGGAGATTGTCTTGACCAGGACCACACCCCTAAATGCATTGAAGCAACTGCCATGTGATTGGTTAATTAGATAATTGCATTAATGAGAAATTGAACAGGTGTTCCTAATAATCCTTTAGGTGAGTGTATGTCCTCTTATGATGCATATTCTTGATATTATGGTCCCTTAATTTTTTTTTTTTCTGTCAAAAGATTTGGCCTTCAACTATCTCCTGGGGAAATCAATACAACACAAATCAAATATGTACAAATAAATTTAAAAAAACTTCCAGCTGGTGATGCGTCACATATAAAAGCAATTCTATGCAGTTTTGTGTTACTGTCTGTTTTATCAGTCTAAATAAAATACAGAGTGACTATAAACATGTGTCCATTAAGAGGGCTGAGATATTACGCTAGAATAGATGCAAGCGCATGCAGCTGCAGAACAGTTCAAAAGGTGGAACATCGCTGCTCTTTTGTTCTTCTGCAGGCATCAAAGCAGCTCTAACACCTGCCCAACAAAGCAAGAGCCTCTACAATTTTGCGCTAAAAAAAGCATGTAAAGCGAGTGCAAGCCACGGCAAACAGCATCATGATATTACACACAGATGTACAACAACCACTGTGAGCAAATCTCAGATTAAAAGAAAGGTGTAGGACTAGCACGCACTTGAATGTAGATTTTGATAACACTGAACTTATTGCAGAAACTTCTGTACAAGCTGTCTAGCTAGGCATATAATGTACTGTATATGAAAATGCTATTATAATTTCAATGCACAATCTTTACAAATATCTATCCCTGTATTAGGCCTATGTCTCTTTGTAGGCCTATACTTTCTTTTTATCAAGATACTACAATCGGACGCCACAAAACAAAAGCTAGGTTTTAAAGCTATACAATCAAAAAGTTTTAACTCTTAAAATAATAATAAAAATATACCTCTAATAAAATGTATATAACATGGTCTTTTTTGTAAAGACAGTGTAGCGTTTACTCAACAACATGCATTTAACTGCTGCCTGCTGAAGATTTTTTTTAATGTCTTTATCTATCTTTTCACTATTCTTTAATCCCTCCCTATTTTAGCTTGTACTATTCTGAATGATGGCTAAAACTTTATATTACTAGCACTTTTTGTGTTTATTGTCCTAATGGTTAGAGAGTCAGACTTGTAACTCGAAGGTTGCGGGTTCGATTCTCAATACTGGCAGGAAAATATAGGTAAGGCAGTGAATGAACAGCGCTCTCTTCCACCCTCAATACCGCAACTGTGTGTCCACAGTTTACAGTGTGTGTGTGTCTGTGTGTGTTCACTACTCACTGCTCCTAATGTGTGTGCACTAACTTGGATGGGTTAAATGCAGAGGAAAAATTCTGAGTACGGGTTGCCATATTTGGCCTTCATGTCATGTCACTTTCACTTTAAGATGCATTGCTTCTGCATATTCATTGCCTATGCATATTCTGCATATTCATGCATATTCCTCAGTTGTAAGTCACTTTAGATAAAAGCGTCTGCTAAATGTGTAAATGTAAATATAACATGCTAATAATAAACTCTGGATTTAACAGAGGATTATAGTGATATAATTGGAAGTAACTATGTTAGTAGTTTTTTTCCCTCTCTCTTGGTGCTATATTTATAATGACCCTCTGCATTCCAGACAAATCCTTTACATTGTCGCCTCCGTAGTCCAGTAATATGCAACAACAGGTGCAAACCCTTCCATGTCGTCATGCTGGCTATCGAATCATCAACGACCAGCAGTAATGAAAGACAGATCGTTGCCAAGGGCATCAAATGGTCAAGTTTTCCTAAACAAACCTGCTGGGTCCTGGACTCCTATAGCAAATGGCGATTGGGTAAGTTGTTTGGTGAACTCTTACGGGGTTGATTTCTATCCAGCTGCCTTGAGTAGTAAAACTCAGCTGAAGCCTAGATGATGTTTTCACACATTATCCTTCCGTCCACAAGAAAACCTAAAAACCTGTTTTGGTTTGTTGTACCTCACATCATGACATTCCCTGGAACGTAAATCTTTGCCCTTCTCCTCACAGGATTGGTACTATAACCCCGCCGAAAGTATTTCTTGCATTCCTTTCTAAGCTAGATTGTTACTAGAATAGAAGCTGGAGGACTCAGATACAGTCTTTGAGGCACTTCGTGAAGAACCATTGGACGTGAGATCTATGGATCTCCTTGTGTTCTCCTGAAGGTCTACCTCTCCATTCGGCATGACTGTGGATACTGTGGTCTCCATTCGGCTGGCACGGTAAATGCTGGCTTGCGTCTGAAGATAGCGAGTTGACTTGAGCTCCAGACCTTCATAGGAGCCTCGAGGGACACAAGGACACCAGAAGAACGCCTGTTGGAATCCAGCTCGAAACCTGCACAGATAGATGAGTATTGCATGATTCGCTTTAAAACCCGAACCTGTTTTCCACTGAACCAACTCTCACCTGTCATTGAGAAGACAGTAGATGATGGGATTGTACATGGTGGAGCTCATGCCAAGCCACATTATTCCTAAGTACACCTGTTGGATGTAGGGTTCCTCAAATAAGTGAGGAAGGAACTGGTGCAACAGGAAGTAGACATGGTAGGGCAGCCAACAGACGGCGAAGGTGCACACAACGACGATCATCATCTTCACCACCTACGTAAGTTAAAATAGAAGGAGCTGAAATAAGTTAAAAACCTAAGTCATGTTCCTGTTAAACAGACCACCAAAGCTGGTCACCAGCTTATGTTGTGTTTTGGATGCTGGTCCCTAAGAATGGGATCTAAAGCCGGGTGCACACTGTACGATTTAAAACTGTTGCTTGTCAGGATCTCAGTTGTCATTCATGTCTAGGGTTGGGTACCGAAACTCGGTGCCAATAGGGAACCGATTCCGACGTAAACGGTAGTAACCAGACGGAATAAGAACGAAAATTTCGGTGCCTGATTTCGGTGCCTAACTTCATTAGGCACACACACACACACAAGGTCTCTCGCTCGCTCTCTCTCCGCCGTGCGTGTGCTACACAGTTTGGAGCACAGTTTCTTCTGTCTCGCATGCGCGCTCTTTCTCACAAGGTTTGGCTGCATTTCACGTGTAAAATTACGTGTCAGAACGCCCTCTGGGTGTGCCGATAGTCTGAATCCCATATAGAATCAAGCCAATTCATTGGCTGATGGCGCGGGCGCCGCCTCGACGCACTTACGTCGTCATATTATGTTGGCGCGCGCGCGCCATCTGCTCCTCAGATTTCTCTGCCGAAAAAGGAAGCTGGTCGGCAGCGCGAGGAGCTTGGCAGCGTCCCGTTCCCAATTGAGAGAACACAGGTTACACCAGTAACCAGAGATGTTCTCTTTCATAGGTTCACTCAACGCTGCGTAGCTAAGAAGCAGTGGATTTGTATTTGTAGGCTGCTGTATCACGTGCCGTTTGAACTGACGCGCTACAGCGATCTGTCACATTTCAAAGAGCCAAAACGTTATTTATTGTGTGAATCTCGTAAAAATATTGACAGAATCTGACAGCTGTGGATTTGTTCCATATCAAAAGTAACCTTCTCTGTCTTGTCTGTCAGTGTCCTCTTTGTCCGCGATTTCTCTGTGTGAAAAGGGTCATTTGCGTGAGTCTCACGGTCAATGCGTGAGAGTTGGCAGCTCTGCCTGCTAGTAATCTCTATTAATCTCCAGTATTATTACATTGTTTGATACAATATTGTTTCATTTGATATTATGTAAATATGAATTTTTATTTTATATTGGTTTTATTATTACCATATGTTACTTGTATTTATATTGTTTAAAGATTTAAGTTAATATTGTGTCCAGTTTGGCCCTGTAAATTAAAGGGTATTATTTTTTGATAAAGTGTGTGCGGTTTCATTTTCTTAAGTACCGACTTAAGAACCGTTTAAGCACCGGAACCGTTTAAAAAATACCGAGTAGGTACTGGAATCGGATAAAACCCATACGATACCCAACCCTATTCATGTCAGACTGTACGACAGTCAAAATGCATTAAAAACGGACGCACGCAAGAAGACGAGTCCGGTGTTTTACATCATCAATCCGTGACACGTTCATTGACTGTAAGCTGCATTACATGCAGGATTTAAATGGTGGCTAGCAAACAAAAACAGTCTCTAGCGTTAATTTTGATCATGGCTTGTCCTAAAAAAAAGACGATGTGTATGGAGCTGGTGGTTTATTGTTGTCTCTATAATTGTGTCATCAGGTTCTGAGCTTCTGTTGGTTTTTGATTTGATGGTTATCCTAGGAGAACTCGCACTGCAGGACTGTGTGTCAAATCTTCTGCCAGAATTTTGTCGGAGGTACAATTTGATTGCAACGGTCATTAATCAGCTGTCTGCAAACTAGCGAACAAAGACTTCAGATTTTGGCCTAGGAACAGAGGAATCTTTTAGGATTCTCAACATTTGTCTCAGACGGCCACAATCGTACAGTGTGAACCCGGCCTAACTAGATAAACCCGCAAGATATTCTCTCAACAAGCTTCATCAGATAATTTTTGCAGGGTTACTATCCATTCAAGCTGGTCTTTTCAGCAATGCAATTGACATTTAAGCTTTTATGTCACTCTGCAGATGATGACCTTCCGTTTGGCGGTCAGCTGCTGTCGATAGCGGTCTGAAGAGTCTCCAGGAATCTCACTAGCCCAGAGACTGCGTCCCACCACCAGGTAAGCACAACCCATGATGAGCAAAGGCAGAAAGTAAATAAGCACAACCACGCAGACGTAATACCTGTGAGAGCGAAAGAGACAGAAGACAGCCAGATGGAGAATTAGTATGGGAGAGGCAGCCAACGAACAAGAACAAGACATGAAACCCAAGATGAAAATAGACTCAAAGTTGTTGAGACATATTTTGAGTGCACATTTTTTACACAAAAGGATGCCACACACCAACAACTCAGAGTCCCACATGTTTTCTCACATTAGCTCCCACTTAAAAATAACCGCTGGAAAACTTTTGAATCATGACCTGTGAATGCTCTCAGGATTCAGGCGCTTGCGGCAGTGCCTCTCTTCTTTTGGAGCGCTGTACAATTCAACGTGCTAATTAGCCCGAGGCTTATCTAGAAAGACACTCGTCTCACAGGAGAGGTATAGAGGGAAAATATACACAGGCCTTTCACGCATTAACCAAAACACTCTGCATTTCCTGTCCTGTAAGACAATCCAAAAAAAGCAATGTGAATGCCTTCTTCTCTCTTGTTGTTCTGATTGAACGTGTCATGCTATTTAGAATGAGCCAAATGAGTTGTGGGGCTTTACCGCTTTCCTTTTCATGTTTCCACAACTATCTCAGTGGTGAGAGGTAATTAAATATTGTCCAGTTGATTAATTTCAAAAAATGCTTGTAATGTGGTAGGAAATAAGGAGATAATCATGCTAACATGACGAGTGATAGCACAAAAACAAAAATCATGCTGTGCACTATCCAAAATCCTGCAGATTCCGATAGCTGGACGCAAATATGTGAGTGCATAAAGAAAACATTAGTAACTTTGAATCTACTTCTCCCGTTCTCTTCTCTGTCCCTTTCCGGCTATCCATCATCTCTCTCTCTCTCTCTCTCTCTCTCTCTCTCTCTCTCTCTCTCTCTCTCTCTCTCTCTCTCTCTCTCTCTCTCTCTCTCTCTCTCTCTCTCTCACACACACACACACACACACACAAAGATCTACCAACCAGTTAAAAAGAGTTCATTGATCAGTGCTCCTTATCTTGTACATCTTGTTATCTTGTGATACCCAGAATTGGTCTCTCAGAGACTATCTATACCTTTAAAGAATGTTCGGGCAGACAAAAGCTTGAGATACTACCTCAAGAATTGATTCCTGCAAAGTAGGATTGGTGAAGTCTGACAGGTTATGTCACTTAAAGGAGGTAGAGGCGTTCACTGCTTTGGCGTGACAGGGAGAAGCCTGCTGGAAGATTGACTGTACGGGTGGGTGAACGACTAAGCTGTTACGGAAATAAGAGCATGCCGTCGACACCTGACACCTACAGAGCCATTGCAGGAAACTGGCAGGATATTGGAGAATCGGATTGGAGTTGGTAGCAATTAGAGTGAGCGTATGTGAAGATCTATCAAAACTCGCTCAGTAGCTGATAAATATGTGATTAAGATGCAGGACAGGGCGTATTGCTACTTGGCCACAGTTTAAATATTCATATCGTAAATCAGACCAAGCCACACACTTTGTACCGGTTCGACCGAATACTGCTGAGAGAGCACCCTATGGTGTCCATAATGTTGTTTTCATTCTGCATTGGCAGATTTCTCATTGCTATGTTAGGGTTTTGCTAAAATAAGCAGGGCTGTCTTAAAAGAGGAGACTTGCGAATATGCATTTTTGGGCAAGATTTGAATTGTCTTTGTCTTTTTCATATTATTATTGCAATAGCAGGTGTTTCTTTCAGGTGTTTTGAAGTGTGAGTTTGACTGTAGTTTCGGGACGTTTGTGTGGATTTTGACATTTTTAAATGCTATACTTCAGTAGAGGTCGACCGATAGTGGATTTTACCGATACCGATATCTAGGTTTGACCGTACATGCCGATAACCGATAATTCAACCAATATTTTTTTTAATGGATACTGGATTAAAAACAAACATCATACTCACAATAAAACAATGCTGAACTGAAATGTGCTCAATTAAATAAATAAATATGAATATATTAACTTTATACAGAAAATAATTTAAACATTAAAATATTACAGGTTTCATTATAGCTATAACCTAGAAACAAACGTACATTTCATAGGTAACACTTTGCAAGTCCCATTTGTAAACAAGGATGTATTAACTAGCTTTCATGAACTATATATAATGCAATATACCTTTTTACTGCATGTATTAATATGAGCAATACAATTGTACCTTTATCATTCATGTTAGTTCATTCATAGTACATTAACGAAGGTAATAAAAGATAAAATAAGAATTAAAACTCCATCTCAAATGCATTAGTAAATGTTGAAATTAACAAACTACCGTAACAATGAATAATTCTTCTACAACCTGTATTAACCTTATTTAATGCTAAAAATGGAATGTTATTGTAAAGTGTTACCATTTCATATGATTCCAAAGAGTCGTGCTTAAAGATGGCCATTAAAATGTAATAAAGACCTGTATTATGTATACGTAATATAGCCTATAGTCTCTCACTTTATTTGCTTCTATATTTTAGAACACTTGATGATTATTTAATCAAAATAACAAGATCTATTGTAGTGATTTAAAAAGATCTTAAATCGAACGCGTTTCTGATTAGTTTACGTTTCTGTCGGCTGCATGAACATATCAATGTTGAGAAAGCAATCACGTCACTAGTTTTAAATATGCAACTTCGTCGGCTAATGAATGCATAAAAGTGACCAGCCGGATAAAAATTGTGCAAATAGATGGTAACAATTGCGCCATAAAACATTTGGGTCAGGTCTGCGTGTGTTTTTGTCACATTGCATTAACGGTTGACTGAGGTAATGTTAGAGTCCTCACAGCCTCGACGGCAAACTACTGTTCTTTCTCTGCTGATGCAGCATCTAGTTAACAAATGAATTAATTTGTAATGATATGGCAATATGTAGCTACTTTAGTGTTATGTATTCATACCGTTTCGCTGTCGGTGTTTTAAATGTCAGCGCTCTCGCTGCGTGTTCTCTCCGTGCTGCGCGCTGCCTCACGTGTTAACGTAAACAACTCCAATAGTAACCGACTGCAGAACCGCAGAACCATACGTCATAGCAGTGTGAGGACGACAGCGCCAGCCTGACAGTCTGATGCCGGAAGTGGGCGTGGCCAGGCATTGCGCTACTTCTGTGTTTTAGAACGTTTAAAACAATGCTATTATGAATATATTTTTTAACGATTTCATTCAAAATATATATTTAAGAGATAGGCCTATATATATATATATATATATATATATATATATATATATATATATATATATATATATATATATATATATATATATATATATAAAATATTATAAAATATGATATTTATAAAATTATAAAGTATAATAACTATGTTTTGTCCTATTAACAAAAGACAGGCAATGTAGCCTATTAACAAATGTTAATAGTGTTTTTTAAGTTAAAATGATACTTTATGCATCTGTTTTGTGTCAAATGATTAACAATATAAATTGAACAAAGCTTAAAACAAACAAAATAATAAAACGAAAACAAAGCTTGAGCATTTGAACATTTGATTTAATTGAAAAGCATTTTTTAAATAAAATGTGTTTTTTCCCCCCTCTGAAATAGCAAAAGCATCACACACTAGCTGTACCTGCTCCAAATAAATAATAGTAATTAAATCAAAATAAATAAAATAAATAAATTATATAAAACAAAATCAAACCAAAGAAAATAAATCTTATTAAAGTTATGCAGGCACACATTTAACAATAATTTTCAAGTGACAAATAAACTAAATAGATCAAAACTCCATACACATGGAGTTAATCCTGATGATTTCATGAGGCGCCTTTCGTCATGACACTCGCTTTTATTTTCTTTGGTTTGATTTTGTTTTTTATAATTTATTTTATTTAGTTCGATTTTTTATTTTTATTTAATTACTATTATTTAGCTATTTAGAGCAGGTACATCTGTGTGTGATGCTTTTGCCATTTCAGAGGAAAAAAATAATTGTATTTAATTAATCATTTTTGTTTCAGTCCACCATAGAATTATGTTGTTTGGTCTATGAAAAAAAATTGTTAGTTGTGAAATGGTTGAGTATTAACAAAATTGTTTTTTAAAAGTTAAAATTATACTTTATCCATTTGTTGTGTCAAATGATTAACAATATAAATTGAATAAAGCTTTAAACAAAAATAATAATAAAATTAAAACAAAGCTTGAACATTTGATTGAATTGAAAAGCATTTTTAATTGTAGTAATATATTGTCTTTTGTTAATAGGACAAATAATTATTATATTTTATAATATTTGATATATATATATATATATATATATATATATATATATATATACATACAGGTGAAACTCGAAAAATTCGAATATCGTGCAAAAGTTATCATTTTGATAATTATGGCTTACAGATTATGAAAACCCCAAATTTAAAATCTCAGAAAATTAGAATATTACATGAAATCAATAAAAAAAAGGATTTTAAATACAGAAATGTCGGCCCTCTGAAAAGTATAATCATGCATATGTATATAGTTATATATACTAAATATATTAGTTTCACCTTTTAATTTGAATTACTGAATTACATGAACTTTTGCACAATATTCTAATTTTTCGAGTTTCACCTGTATATATACACACAACTATATATATATATATATATATATATATATATATATATATATATATATATATATATATATATATATACACACATCTTAAACATATCTTTAATTAAATCGTTTAAACAAATATTTATAATAGCATTGTTTTAAACTTTGAAACGTTCTAAAACACAGAAGTAGCGCAATGCCTGGCCACGCCCACTTCCGGCATCAGACTGTCAGGCTGGCGCTGTCATCCTCACACTGCTATGACGTATGGTTCTGCGGTTCTGCAGTCGGACCTATCTCAAACAACTCAGCCAGTGATAGTTTGTTATTTGTCCTCTAGAGGCCGCTCTCACTCTGTATAATGCCAGCAGTCTCTTTCTGTTCTGAGCGCTCTCGTGCTGTGTAATGACCGCGCGCACTTCTCAGCCGCTCCAGCAACGGACGCAACCCGGAAAAACTATCGGTGTGGATTTTTGCCGATAACGATAGTTCCACCAAACAACTATCGGTGCCGATTAATCGGCAAAACCGATGAATCGGTCGACCTCTATACTTCAGGTAGGCTGTCCAACAAACATGCATGTTAAAAAGAAAGTTATCTCACGTCTTTTGAAAATCCCACACGCTGTACTCTGGCCAGTTGATGTAGCACACGACACGTCCTGGCAGCTGAGCGGTGCTGGAAAAATAGTACTGGGGGAAAGCCAGGAGCAGCGCCAGGGCCCAGATCACCCCCACCACCAACTTGGTCTCAGCGGACGACAGGCGCTGCTGGAGTGGGTGGATGATAGCCATGTACCTGCAGGGGGGGGGGGGGGGGGGGGGGGGGGGGTTAACAAAGGCATTGACCTGCTATTTATGCAAACTCAAAGGAGAATCAGCCACTTGAATTAACCCGAAATTATTTGCCTGGTCCTGCTGATATGATTTGGATAGTGAGAGAGATGACTACTGGAGTTTGTCTTTTTAGTGGGTTGGGTCTTTCCCCACAGCAATTATAGAAATGCAGCTTCGTTCTATGATCTTTGCTTTCTATACAGGTTTGATTTTTCAGGTTTCAATTCCATCCTCCCAAAAACAGCACAGTGGTGTTGCTGTGCTACAGGTTATGGTAACAAATGCTATTTTTATTTTAAAAATGTAATGAATGCAATGATTGAAGTCTCCAGTCTTCAGTGTCACATTATTATTATCAATGTTGAAACGAGTTTTTGCTGCTTAACATTTTTGTGGGAACAATGATAGCATGCAAACATTTGTGGTAAGATTAAAAAAATTAATACTTTTATTCATCAAGGAAGCATTAAATTGATAAAAAGTGACTGAAGAAATTTGTAAAAAGATTTCTATTAAATAAATGCTTTAATAAATGCAAATAAATACCATTTATTGAACTTTCTATTAATCAAAGAATCCTGAAAAAATATAAGAAATGTTTCTTTAGGAGCAAAAACAGAATATTAGAATGATTTCTGAAGGATCATGTGACACTGAAGACTGGAGTAATGATGCTCAAAATTCAGCTTTGATCACAGGAATAAATTACAGTTTACAATATATTCAAATAAAAAACAGTTATTTTAGCTTGTAATCAAATTCAGCAATATTAATGTTTTTACTGTATTTTTGATTAAAGAAATCAAATCTTATGGTGAGCATAAGAGACTTCTTTCAAAAACATTACAAAATTGTAATGTTTCCAAACTTTTGACACTTACTATATATACTCTTGTTTAGCCACATTTAATTTAATTTTGATTCTTCTGCCATTTCAAAAAACAATTTACTTCACCTTTCAGGCTTAAAACCTTCTCTAAAGAAAAGGCATGGAGCAAAGATAAAGGAGCACATGTCTTATAGCCAGTTAATCCTTACAAAATAGTACTGTGTCATATTCAATTCACATTTATAGCCCTTTTCACAATACACAGTTTCAAAGCAGCTTTACAGAGCGATAAAGTGGTCTGTTATCAGAGGTGACTGTCCAATATGTATATATTATGGAAATTCATGTACTATTTACAATGGCTTCCAAGGTTATTTCAAGAAAACAATAGTATATACATGTACCAACAAAAAACATGGGTAACACTGTGTCCTTGTTACACATGTTGCATGTATTTATTTACTACAGTAAAAACTATAAATTATGCATAATTAAATGCACCAACCCCTAACCTTTAAATGTATAATTACACTGTAACAGGGACACATTAAAATCACATGTAACCAAAACATGTAACCATTTGTAAGTGTAAATATAGCTCACCTGTCCAGGGCTATTGCCGTCATTGAGTAAATACTTGCGAACACAGCTGCTATTGGAAAGAAGTTGTGAAATCTGCAGTAAACAAGTCCAAAATACCATTCGTTGTGCACTGCATACACAAAGTTAATAACGGTGTTGAAAGCCGACATAGACGCCTCTGCGAACGCGAGATTTACCAGAAAATAGTTGGTAACTGTTCTCATGCGCTTATGCGCTAAAATGATCCAGATGACAGTGATATTTCCAACAACTGACACCAGAACTATACAGCAATATGCGATGGCCCACAAAACTATCTGCCAAACTGGCTGAACGAACTGGTTCGAGAACACGTCTGTGTCATTGACCAATGAACCGTTGGTTCCGTTTGCGCTTGAGTTTTGCGAAGAGATGTAGAGAGGATCCATGATCCATAAATCATCAGAGAAAAGGCATTTCAGCAAAGAAAAGTTTAGGTTTTGTTTTAAGATGGGATTAGAAAATTAGATCCAAATGAAATGTCAGTGTTATTTTCCCAGCGTCTTCGGTATATGCTGCAGCAGGCTGAATCGCGAGCGCGTACCCGGCGCGCCTCTCCAAACGTGACCGCGCAGTCTCGAAACAGTGTTGAGAGCACGCGCTGCATCTTTCCAGTCACGCGCCAGTGAACACGCGCATCCTCCGTACTGACAATGACAAATGTCACTGTTTGACTTTAAAATGGGTTTGACAACAAAAAGCAGACTAATAATAATATAAATTTAATTTCGATCAATTTGAAAATGTAATAACTTATAGGGTAACAAGTCAAGTCAAGTCAAGTCAAGTCACCTTTATTTATATAGCGCTTTTTACAATACAGATTGTATCAAAGCGCTTCACAGTGATAACATGAAAACAATATAACAAAGTTTGTTTCTAAAAGAAATTGCGTCAACGTCCACCTTAAGTAAGGCAGATCAATAATATTATTGAATATTAAATGTCCCCAACTAAGCAAGCCAAAAGCCAAGGCAACAGTGGCAAGGAACCAAAACTCCATCAGGTGACAGAATGGAGAAAAAAAACCTTGGGAGAACCCAGACTCAGTCGGGGGGCCAGTTCTCCTCTGGCCAACGAAGGAACAGTGCATGATTCGGGCAGCATTACAAGTCAGATTGTTTTGGAAGTCCAAGTATGCTCGCCGGTCTTAAGACGAGTTGTTGAGGATCAGTGCCGTCCACCATAGAGAGTCCATATCGCCCGTGTTGAGTCGTCACTTCATAGGCTTTGTGATTGGAGCATCTGAAGTCTCCGTGAGAGGCTGGATACAAACTGGAGCTGACGAACGCCATTTTCTCGGGACTCGCGTCCCGAGATAACAGCAGAAAAGCAAAGGGAAAATAATTAGCGTAGCTGCTGTTCATAATGATGATTTCCATAACACAGGCGTAAATGATAAAACATGAAGACAGTGACTCTTGCGTCCCAAAATCACCCCCCTCCGTCCCCCACTCAACTCAGCCCAGCTTACTGACCTCTACGTCCCTCCTGCTGCTGAGACCTAACCACAATCTCACAATCTCTCCGCAACCCAACCATACGCGCCAACCCGTTGACTAAGGCTGTCGAGCCCCACTGGTGTAACACAAAAAAACTCTTCTGTAATAATAACAAAAAGCCACAGTAACAGTCATTCTTACTGCGCAGGATTTTTTCATGTCCTCTTCATATGTCTGTCTAAATGTATGGATAAAATAAATTCACATTTTTAAAGATGGAAATCATATTAGTTTATCAATTAAGTCAACGTGGGATGAATTTTATGTGAATTGTAATCTTAAAAAATCAAATATAGCCTATTAAGCGCATCTCTGAAAGGGCAAGCCGTGTGGGTTTGTTGTCTGAAGGGGGACAAACCACATATCTGTGACAGGGTGTTGGGCGTTAAGGCTCATGATGCACAAGGGCATTGAAGGCAATCCCGTCTGGTCCAAACCGATAGAAGGTCTACTGTGGCACAAATCACACAATTTATTTGTGGTCCAATGAGTCCAGTTTTCCTTTACATGTCAAGTCAACTCACTTTATTTATATAGCGCTGCGCTTTACACAGTACAGATTGTTTCAGAGCAGATTTACAGTGATAACAGGAAAATGATTCAATGATCAATCAAAGTTGATTTTGACTGTACAGCAGCTCTAAAAGAAAATAGTGTCACTGTTCGGTTGAACAATGCGGTAAATTATGCAAGTGTTTCACAAGTCTATCAATGGTTTAAGAGATGCTCTATATTTTCACATGGCACTAAAACTCATTCAGATGGGGAACTAGTTGCTGGAACACATACTGTAAGTACTTCTTGGCTAGTTTTTCAGCAGGAGTGAAATTGCATATATGAAATTTACATTTATCTTAATTTTCAACAATATTCAATATTCACAATATTCTGTCATTTTATATTGATTGTTCGATTATTGTGATAATATTGCTATTTATGTCGCCCAGCCTTTTAGCCACCAGTGAATTAAAATAACATAAACACAAAATCATTCTGAAAGCGTCTTATACCGTTTACCTTTTTAATAACCTTATAGTCTTAGAATTAAAACATGCAAACTGCTATGGTAGCCTATTCTTATTTAAGAAAAGCCCAAAACAACTTAAGTCATATTTCTTCTAAATTTAGCCCTGGGATGATATCAACTAATGGCTAAATCAATTACTCTTTTTGAGAAAAATGTTAGTTTTTCCACCCTGAATGTGGCGTTTTCAGAATCTATTAACGTTTAACCTTTGGCCCCAACAGCAAGGTCACTGCGTGCATAAATCAAGATGTCCACAGGTGGACAATATTGAGGACTGGATCAATGCACAATCCTTGAGCTGTTGCAGGATCTGCGATTAGTTGAGCTGGGTTTCATCGACAAACGATTTCTCACTGCAAAACATCTTAATGCCTGAAATTGTTTTGTGAGTTTAGGTCATAAATCATCATCAGACAAATTGTCGGAAAAAAATATGTCCCAGGATATAGATGAATAGATAACATAAAAAATATATAAAAGGGAAGAAAAAGGTACTTGGAGCGTTACAAATGAAATCACTGAAACAAAATCAATTCATGAATGAGAGCAAAGACACAAGTTCAATTGACCTCTGCACATACTGACCTATGCAGATTTACAGGTCATTTAATTCTTCAAGAGGGTGATTCTTTTGACTTTTTCTTATATTCCATATATAACATAGCCTTCAGTCCACTGGAAAAGAAATATGCAGTCAAGCACGTAAGGTTATCCAAGAATAACATGACAGCAGAGTGGACATTGGCCTATTATATTACTGAGCGCAGAATAAAAGCAATTCTTGTATTTCCCCATAATGCCATGCTCTGCTGCCAAACTGTCTTTTGAATGAAACATAATGTTGCTTCATTCTGCTCCCGTAACTGCATTTCACTAAAGAAATATCCTCTATAACCATTTATTATGAAGAGAGTGGCCCAAATGTAAAATGTAAAAGTAGAAACATGAAGATGCTTTGCAGTTATGGGATCAAAACAAGAACACATGTCGTGCTGTCAGAAGCATTCAGGGGTCGTTTGAAATGGTCCAGTGTTGTTTTGATTGGGTGAATGTTCTCGACCAGATCAGCAGCGATGTTTTATCCGTTGATTTGTTTTGTTTTGGTCCCACTCTTTGCACCTGTTCAGTCCCTCCCTGGTGGCTCCAAGTGTCCAACCAAATGTGAGCGATCAGAATTGACAGCAGGGAAATGGAAATTCAATTTCACACGTCACCTGCTGCTCGCTACAATGCAATCCAGTAGAAGAGAAAGAGAAACAAATATCTTCATCACTAAACATGTCGGAGGCTTGACCGATAATAATTTCATCCTGCAATATATTGTATCTTTTCGATTAACGCTGTTGTCTTAGAAATAAATCCAGAGAATACATGAATATGTAAAATGTTGGCCTGTAAAGTGCTTGACCCTGGAGTCATGACGGGTAATTGAGTTTTAGAGAGGCTGCTTTGCAGAAAACTCACATGGTAGAATTGCCTTGAAGGCATGCAACGAATAGAAAAGAGATGCATGTTGAGGAATTGTTTTCAACAGTGAGTGACTGATAATCAATACAGCCCATACCGTCTCATATCATTAAACTGTAGGAGAATTCATTTATTTGTCATTGCCAAAAAAAAAAATCAATGATTAATCAATATTTTAGACTTGCTCTATGTTTTAAGCCTTATTGCATTAATTAATAATGTTTTAAAATAATAAATCTTCTCCACAGATATCTTCACAGATTGGAAACCATGACTTGTTTGATCAAAGTCGGTGAGTTTCATAAAAAAAACAACCTAATATACATAAGCCTGAATCTTGTTTTGGACGTTTTTTTGTCATAAGAAAGGACCCAAAAATCATAAATTTCAATCACATTAAGGGTCGTGTCAAGAGCTCAGCTGCTGTATTTATTTGCCAAAATTATTTATTCATTCATTTTAGGACGATCTCTGATGAGCCCATGACAAGCGAGGGCGACGCACGACACGGCAGGACCAGCCAGGTGAGCGTTAACAGGCCGCCATGCACACGTGATCTTCAGAAATGAAATGACAATTTTAATTTCATACAGAAATTGGATGTACATCCTCCATATCAGGATTCACACAAATTAAATTGGATTTGAAGAGTGTTTTCCTCTTCAAATCCACGCAATTATGTCTGTTTCAGTGAGTGAACAAACAGATACAATTATTGGCATTCTTCTCACATAAATTATAAATAAATGATCAGTTGTAGCCAGTTCTCTTGTTAAAGTCACCATGAAATTAAAATGGACTGTTCTTGTTTTTTTTATTGAACATTGCAGTATTTATTATAAATGATTCATCACACATGCACATCATTATTAATCTTTGATCAAAATAACTTCCCCTCCTCTTGCAGCGTCTTCTCTTCTCTGATGACGCGTTTACTGTCGCAAGGGCGAGACAACCCGTCAATCACATGAGATCAACCAATAGAAAACCACAACCATCCAATCAATTCTTGAGGGACAAAATCAAGTCCCGCCCTACATTTTTTCTTGTACGAGAAGCCGTTTCACTCGGATGTACGTCACAATAGGGAAGAATTTCATGCCGTCTTCAGAAGTGTAATTCAGCTTTGTAATGATTGGTTGCAGAAAAATATAACAGCTTATCATGTGTTTTATATTTTTTGGCATGTTCTAATGCAGCTAAAAAATATTTTTTTAATAGCATGATTGCTGCTAAACAACAGCCAATCAGATATTTGCCAGGAAATAATTAACTCTGTATTATTCATCATATTAACATCAAGTTGCTGTTTGATTCCTAATTAGACATAAATGAATAAATATAGTACAAGCAGCCACTCAACACTTACTAGAACGAGAAACCGAGAAACTTATTTGACAAATGAGACTAATTATGTTGTTCAGTAAGCTGTGGTTTCATTTCAGTAATCAGTGATTTCTAGAAATTGGGAAAGAAAAGCAAAAGGAACTGAAAATAAGGATCTCACTTGTTGATGGAAGCTTAAAAAGTACA